GAAATGCATTTTCCATTTTTAAATTTCTCAGGTACACATTTTATGAAATAACATTATTGCATTGTTTGACAATAATATTGTACTTAGGAACTGAAATAAAATTCAGGAGGTCAGTTATCAAACATACAATAGCCTTAAATAACGTTAAGTATTACTAATTAACGTTAATCAAAACCAGTAGTCAATATTTAGGTTTGTTGCACTAGATTTAGACACTTTACTTTATTTTGGTAAATTTTAATTACGTTACTGATCAAAAACGCAAACTGCGGACTTGCATTTGCTATTTTATATTCAGGTCGGATTTATTTAAAACTAAACAAATACAAACTCATTCGTGGTCCAAAAATCCCCCTCTTCCAAGTAAAGCTATAACGGCACATTACAAAACGAGAAAGTTGAAATTCTCAGAACTCATCTGAATGTTTGTCTACCTCTTGGCGCATCCCTTGCAGTGATTCAATGGTGTCAGATTCCAACCAGCTTGTCGTGTGTCGAGTGCTCGAAACTGTGCAAATTTGACTAGTAGAGTAGCAGTCATCTTTTATAGAAATAAAATTACAGTTTTGTCTGTCCATTGCGTAGAATCATGCAGTTTTTTGGTTATTTTTACGTTTCATAGCCTAAGAAAGCCGAAACGAGTATCATCTCAATTTCTGTCTGTCTGTCTTTCTGTCATTCTGTATGTACCGACAAAATGTAAATTTACGCTGCCTACTCTGAGAAAACTAGATTACGGTATGCTATAGTATGAACATCTACCATATCCATAATAATGTTCTACCGCTGCATCTAAACAGCAGAAAAAAGTAAATCACCAAAGATTCGCACAATACGACAAATTATTTATAAAAAAAAAAAAAAACATAAGCATAACTGTAAACAATCCTATTTTGTCACTTCCAATTGTGTATCAAAGGTTTTTGTTGCGGCTTGGTTCAAATTAGCTGTTGTCGTAAATGAAAAAAAATAATAGTGCTGTACTGTATTGGTAAACCCTATAAATCCTTAATGCTTTTGAATATCATAAAACCAACTTGTGTAATTGAAACAACAGGTAAAATTCTTTAATTGATTTCAAATATGAATACTGATAAGGTTAACATGGGAATTCCCAGGGCCACTAGGGTGGAGCCCGAAAGGATCTGAGCCCGAAAGGATCTTTGAGATAAGAGTATGTCTATATGTTAATCTGGAATGTGAGCTATCTTCATATCGAATTCCAGCTCAATCTGACCAGTAATTAATGCGTAATTGAACTTCAAACAAACAAACAAACTCACACAAACTTTCACATTTATAATATTAGTAAGGTTAGTAAGATAGGATGTATTAATTAAATGTTGATTACTAGCTGTGTGCCCGTTCTACGCACGGGGATCTTATAGTGGTCAGTTATATAAAGAACAGCAGATGGTTTGCGTATTTTCAGATATACTGGCCAGACTATTATATAGAAACAAATACAGTATCTGACAGTTTCAAGTAAAAAAAATGCGTAATAAGACTCTATGTGGGGTACACTTTTGTATCTGATGGCACAAACAACTAAATGATTATTCGATTGTTTAATTCGATATATCGTTTGGTTAGTTAGGCTAGGTTAACCTTACCTAACTAACCAAACGACATAAAGTTAAAATACTATACCTCAACCTCGCCATTTAACATTCAGGTTGGAAATTTCACTATCAAAGGTGCTCTTTTCCTGTCTGTACGGAACACTGAGTAATATGCGCTACCAACTTATAAATAATTGTTTAGGCCTACGAACCCAAGAGATGGGCAATTGGTCTATTGGCTGTATGGTCCAGCGAGCAGCACATAGCGTTGAGAAGACATATTGGAAAAGCGATTTGAGCATAATCCGTAAACCTCTGTTACAATCACCCACTGCAGTTGTCACTGTACATTTTACACAACCACCATTCAAGTGCCGTCAATGAGTTGAAACCTTTTGTGTAAGCTATTGGTAACGCTTATTTACAAAATATAAGTTTCCCAGCCATACAGAACACTGATTCAAGGTCTTTTCCCCGGTTATCAAAACTCAATAAAAATGTTATACACAAAGAAGCTCTTTTTTCATTTGCAGTTACCCTACACATTATTGCACTTGCGATTAATTAAATCCGTTATGTAAGGAAACACGGTTTTAATCCAACTTGGTTTGGATTTGCTTTTGAAACGTGATCGGAAATGATTGCGGTATTTGTAAACAACATTCAATGTAAACATATCAGTGACAGCTATAGAAAAATAATCTTGATCCGAACAGCTGTTCGCTATTTCATAGATGATTATGTGATAAACATTGTGAGAAAACTTGACAAAAATCACACAAAATTGGGTTTTTAAACGTCCGTAAGTTTTTTTACAAATTAGTAAGGCCATATTTTAATAGCTAAAGACACTTTTGCCAATCCAGTGAACACATTTAAATGATTTGGATTTTGATAGGTACTCTTGTTTTTCAGGAGAAGGCCGTGTAAAATGGCTTTTGGTCCGTGACAGACAGACAGAAATTGAGATGAGACTTGTTTCGGATTCTTGAATGTATAAAACGTATAAGTACAGACAAAACTCTAATTTTATTTATATAGATTTGTACCTCTGGTGATTTTTATTAAAAGTTTATTGAAGTAAATAAAGAACAATTTACAAACCATCCGACCAGTGTTTTTATTTAAAAACTACGTAGGCCTATTTGATTGGCTTTGTTTTCTGAACTAAAATATAAATTTTCTGATCTATTTTGTGTTCCTGGTTTCGAAACACAATTTGGCAAAACAATTATTTATTCATTAAACAACTTGATCGAAAAATAATTTCTTAACATTGGAGGACAATTTTAATCATAAAAAACTTTTGAATTCTAATAAACCTAGCTGCTGTACCCGTGTTTTGCATCGGAGAGGATTTTGAAGAGAAAAAGTTTGATACACGTCATATATATATCAAATCCCACTCCAAACACGTCATGTTAATACGTTTACTTCCTTAAATTAAGAAAGTCACAATCTCCAATTAACAGGCTCGTAGCAAAAATTAAAAGTTTCACAATTCGAATAGTTTCTACCTTTTGGACCGTAAAATCAAACCACTGCACTTACAGCTGACTTCGTTTAACATTCTGTTATCTATATTCTTCAAAAATGTAAACATTGTGAATCTTTGAAATCCCATTGGGCGTAACTCAAAGAAAACACGTTAAAAGTAATCGGTATATGTGTCAACCAGGTACAGGGCTACCTCTTGAATTTATATAGATAATAAATCGAAAAATAAAGAAAATATAAGTTGATTGATTATTGTCCGTTATAAGATAAACAATCACGAAACATGATTTGATTAAGTAACCACACATCACTGAGTCGATAAATTCATTCTCATGTAAAAATCGCTTCGATTGTGGCTATATATAATAGGGAAATAACATTTCACTGTACAACGAGCCCAGTAAGCTCGAGAACCAGCAATAAGTTGGAAATAACCGGCCGAACCTTTAACCATCCACTGGCTCGCTAGTCGCTACCCCAGGTCGGTCGGTAGCCCAACAATGGAACCCGTTAGGTTCGCCCCTGCCTCTCGCCACAAGAGAGACAAGAATTTTGCTTGTTCCCCCCGCCATCGATTGTTTGAGGCGGGAAAACTATCTATGTGCTACGGCCCACGCAACACAGGATATTGTTTCGTATTATAACTGTGAACGTTAGCTTTTATGCACTCCCTTGGAGAATAATTCAAAACTGCAAAGAACATTTTATAATCCCACAGTATACTAGATATTTAAACTATAAATACTTTGGTTGTTTGAAAAAATATTTTTGGACGATAAATTTTGCAAGAAATTAGAAATTATCCAATATGTCCGCTTGCCTCCAAGGACTCAACAATAGGCCTACTTGTGCGACTATAAAGCAATAACTCCCCCCCCCCCCCCCTTGCGCTTGCTAATTAGCTCGGTACATATTTGTATCCACAGTTGGCGGGACAATAGCCATTACGATGACCAAAGATTACATTGGCATTTAGGTATTTAACCTGTAGAATAGTAATTTTTAAGTAATCTGGAAGACAACTAATTGAAATGAAGTGCGAAAGATTGGTTATGAGAGTGCTCAATGCTTGAAGCATTATCCGTTTGTTTGAGGTGCGGATTTTCAAGCTTGTAGAACAAATAAATATTATACAAAGTAGAATGGCAGGGGTGAAATTGACTGAAGTGACAGGATACCCGGTGGATTTTCAGTGACTGGATTCCAGTGGTATGCGGTAAAATATATAGTGACTGGCTTAGCAGCACAAATTTTACGTGACTGGCTTTCCCGTGCAAATGCGGTGGTGACTGCATTAGCATAGCAGTTTTTACGTAATTTTATTTTAGTATTTTTAAGAAAAAAAGAGATATATACATTCAGAAATGTCTAGGCTTAAGATATTTACCAATATATATTATATATATATCATAGTTTTGAAATATATTGGGGGGTGCAACTGACTGACTTCCAGTGTATATTTCATGTGACTGACTTCCCGGGCGCGGCCGTGTATATATATATATACATATATAAAAATTTGAACGAATAGTGTTTTTGGCCTCTGGGGACATCAAAATTAAAAAGTAAATCGGTCCCGGGTCTAGGTCTTACCGTGCCACCTACGGTAATAGCTACTTCCCTATAGGGAAATTCGCTAAAACCAAAAAATTAAAGAAAGACAGAGAAATGACTTAATTTGAAAGCTTTTGTTTTAACTTCAAATTTTTGTAACACAATATTCTTATTGACTTTTAAGGGACACAAAAACAATAATGAATATAAAGAAGATTAAAACAAACCATAGTAAGAGTCACAACCATTATCTTAAGGATAACACAAAGTTTTAAATGCACAAACAAAAAATAATTTTGCTTTTCTACATGATGTGGAAATTTGTCAACCTATACCTCTTTTTATAAAATTTTATTGATAATTATTAATTAAATGTTTTTTTCTCACCGAAAACAAAAATCTCCATTTGTAGGTGTCAAACTCTTTGTTGCATTTCTCGCAGCGGTAGTAGCCATTGTTCTGGTCAATCACCTGCGGAAAAAGGTTAATCAGATGAAAAAACAATTAGGTTTTACAAGTAAGTGCAACTCCTACAGATTAGGTTGACACATTATTGGCCAAATGTCTGCCAAAACATGTCTGTAACTGTTTTTAGTAAAAAGCTCCATAAATGGCTTTTAAACAACCCTTTTTATAATGTTAGTGAATTTTTTTATACTTGCCCACATGAGACTGATTTTATGTAATTTAACTAAATGTTGTGTATGCATGGTATTGTAAATGTTTTTTCTATGTAGGCCTACATGTCAGATGTGTTTTTAAATTTTACATTTTCTTATTGTTAGACCGTGAGAAGTCTTGTAAATAAAATGTGAGGATGTCTATTGCTAATTTGTAATGTGCTGAATGACGGAATAAATGCCTTATTAATGCCTTATTGAAAGATTTAGGCCTACCACAAATGGATGCTGATTGTAAAAGTTAACTTAAGAGTCCTTGGAGCCTAGACTTTTTAATAAAACAATTAAAAAAACCATAAAGAAAATTTCTAATCTCACAGTTAACCAGATATATAAACTAAAATCACTCTGGTGTTTGAAAACATATTTTGAGATGGTAGATAACTCTTCAGCAGTAGTTTGAAATTAATGAAAGTAACATTGCTTTTATGGCAGGCAAATCCAAGAAGGCCGTCAGTTTCCATAGACTCCCTTGGAGAACAATTTAAAACTACAGAGAACATTTCTAATCCCACAGTTTACTAGATATTTAAATTATAATCAATGTGTTTGAAAAATATTTTTGGGCAATAAATAATTCTTCAGCAGCTGTTTGAAGTTATCCTAGATGGCCACTAGCCTCCAAGAACTCTTAAGATACTTATGAGCTCACTCTATTAACTATTGGTTAGAAATTAATAAAAAAAAACATTGGAGTAATATAATCACTGGAAAAGGCCATAATATGGCTCACTGAATATTAATTTGAGTGATCATGACGTTTTAGTTAAAGATGGCTTTAGGCCAGGGTTTGGAGTTTGTCATGGATAGGTTTAAGAGTAGGTTTTTACCTTTCTGACAAAAAATATATGAAAACGAACAATTAAACATAAAATTTTCTGTGCAATTGCACCTTCTTCAGTAGTTCTTTGTCTAGTAGGTTGTTCTAGCAAAGAAACAGCTTTGTTGAGTTCTTTGTTCAAAAACAAAGACAACAATGTGCAAGGGGTGGGGGGTTGTTATTCCACACTCACGACACTGGCTGAATTTGGTGGTCCCATTAAAAAATCACATCAATTCACAGACTTTTCTAAGTCAGCGAAATTCCCAAAACCCGGTTTCCCATATGAACATTCTGATTTAGGTTAGGTTTATGAATTTTAGGTTAAGTTGAATAGTTAGGTTAGGTTTATATATTTGTATTTTGACCTAAAAACAAATGGCTGAGAATATATCAGTAAACGAATGTAACATACCTTTTTCTGACAGTTCTCTGAAGGGCACGCCTTGTACATGCAGTTTTGTCCGCGTACATGTAAAACTGTGGCCAGTACAGTCAGGTAGTCAGGCTTGTCTCCTCCACCCAACTGAGCATCCTTGGCCTCCTTAAACAACATCCACTTGCCTGACGAACCTCCTGCAAACCACCATTCAACACAAACGATTCACTTCAGGTCGTAAAGTTGAGCACAAGGGCCTGGGTTTCAAAGTTTTTGCTAGAAGAGCAGGCAACCAGAATAGTTCACTTTGGCATTGAACCCCAACAAATTGTCAACTGTAACAAACGCTCGAGTATTTTCATCTACGGAACTTCCTGGCAACCATTGGACCTCGTCCTCTCTTCCTTCTTTGAAGATTATGTCAGTTACAGTGAAATATTCTTACTTCATTTATTTTATTTCAAAGACTAAGTCCAATTTCTACAAGTTTCCTTAGTAATCTAACTCCAGTGATACAGTATTAAGAATGATAATTTGTCAATAGCATCAAAAGTAGAGAATAACAATATTTATCAATAACAAAATACCAACATGAAAATATAAATCAATATATCAATAACAATAATATCACAACAACTAACAACAGTATAATATTTAGCTTATAGTTTTTTGTGTTTCATTTGACAAAATGGACTCTTGCCGATTCAGGTAATCCTGCTATTCTAATTAAAATCCTTGAAATTCCCAAACTTAATTTTACTTACGTAGTTTGTTAGCTGAGTGGCAATGGTACTTGAAAAAAAAGAGGAATGAGGGAAATGCTCCCAACATTGAGAGCTTTGGACCTTTCGTCACAAGTGATTTAATAGTTGTTTACGCAAAGCCAGGAAAGATAGTGTTAACGACACAAGTAGAAAATTTAAGGTACGAGCCTTGGCCTGTACCTTAAAATTCCTACGAGTGTCGTTAACAATTTACGCAATTTAAATATTTACGCGAGTTGTGTACACTACTTTACCTACGATCGGTTTTTAATTACTAATAATCACTACTCAAAACTTCTAAGAGAGGTTATGTTTTCGTTTATAAACTCTCATTCTCATTGAAAGTGATGCAACGAACCATTGTACCAAACACTAATTGCACCACTCAACAATTAAATTGGCCTGAACACCAAACACTAATTGCACCACTCAACAACTAAATTGGCCTGAACAGCTGATTAGCTGATGTTCGAAGTATTACAATTTTACTTCTTCTCTCTCAATCCTTGAACCTCATTGGTCTGTTACCCGTGTTGTTATGTAAAACAATGCTGTTATGAGAAACTTTTCAATTCTAAGAACTGAACTGAAACGGCTACATTTAAAAACAGTCGTAGGTAAAATAAACTAAAACAATTGATTGTTTACATGACTACACAAAATAAAAGCAACTCTGAGACAATTTTACACTAAGCATTTTTAAAAGAGGTTGGCGACCTCTTTTAACCTTGCATTTGCCCGTCCACAGACTACAGATCTGTGCATGGAATGTATCCAGCAAAGCAAGAGGTGAGCCGGTACAGTACGAAGGTGAACTGTACTGATAAATTTTAGTGGCAGTGACCAGGATCCGAACCCACGACATCGCTGCCTTGGGCCCGAAGTCCGTGACGCTACCAACTAAGCCACCGACTCACCCAAGAATGATATTTAAGATATTTAAACTCAAAGCTCGTCACTCAAGTAACCTACCATCGCCACCCTGTCGTCTTGATATGTTGGTGAAAGTTGCCTCTTTGTCTTGACAGAAGTTTTCGAACCAGTGCTGCAATTTATGGCTTTCGTCAATGTCCGGGTTGACTTGCATGTTTGACGAGCCGATCAGTGAAATGCTCTTGTTGCCCAAGTACTCGCTGACCCGTCCGCCCTTGATGGCGACCACGCGGTTGGTTGAGGCGTCAAACTCCTCGGCTTGTGTACCCCACAGTGTGACTGACACCTGTATGTGAAACCTGCGTTAGAAACACTGGACTGGCGTAATATCAAAAGATTAATTAGGTTAATTTAATTAGGTTAGTTTGTTAAAGAGGTTAGCAGCCTTTTCCTTGCATTTGCTTGTCCACATAAGGGTGAGCCAGTACAGTACAAGGGTTTCCGATAAAGTGGTGAGCACCAGGAACGTGAACCCATGACATCCAAAGATACGTGGCGTTACCAACTGAGCCACCAACTCACTAAGATTGTATTTAACTGTGAATTACTAGGCAGTTGACAAGAGTTTTTAATCATCAGTTTAAAATGGCCTAACAGTTTAACTTTTTTCTCAAGAGCAATCCTTATATATAATACGTGAAGGCGATTTCTACCAAACACTACTCCTTGTTTGAAGTTTATTGTTGGTGATGGTGAGTTAATGTTGTTCAAAGGTTTATTGCGGACATTTTCCATCACGAATATAAAAAACAATACACTTATGTATTGTTGGTGTATTGTTTTTTACATTCGTGATGGAACATGTCCGCAATAAACCTTTGAACAACACTACTCCTCTGTTAATAATGGACGGATTTTTACAAACGACGTGTCAAAATAAAGTATATTTTGTATAGACCCCTTTCACCAATTCCTGTAATAAAAGTCCTCGGGCTTTGCCCCACAGGCCATCAGAATTTAAATATTTAATTAGAAACTTTGTCCCCACTAATTTGAGAGAACGGCTGGGCGTAGAAACTTGGTAGAGGTGTCCAAAGAAAGGTCTTTGTCTGTAGATGAGTTATCAAAAGAAAAACTAAGCAAAATCCCTTAGGACTCTGCCCCAGAAGCCTTTAAAGATCCCTCCACAGAGTTGTTTACATTTTGGTCATGTGAATAATACTTTTTAATAAAACAGCTGTTCATTTTTAAATTGTTTTTCAAACAACACACATTTATTGGGAGTTACTGAATTCTACCAAATAAGTATTTGCAACGTTATTTTCTGATTTTAAAACTGATTTTCTCCTTTATCATGTCTTGCATGTCTTGTTTGTCTTGTTGTTGTTGTCATGTTTTGCATTAACGTTCCATTACGAAATCAGTGGAAAATCCTTTTATCACAGCAATTCTTAAGTTATTAAAATATTCTTATATCTATTTTGTACGGGTTGGTGTCTGCCTTTTTCACAACTTTTGCCTACATTTTATCATATTATTCTACACGTATATAAAATATTTGTGAAGAAATATCTGCTCTTATCGTGATTAATAAAATCCAAACATAGAAACCTTGCCTAAAATGGTACCCGTCTTGACTAATTATTTGCACCTGCCTATATTACGGACTTTGGCACACTGGGTTGGTAACATTATTGAAAATAACACGACATTTTGGCTGTAAAATATGGTACAAAGAGAAAATACTATTTAAGCAGCTACTGTCATGACTGTAGCATGACTGAGCAGCTACTGTCAGAAAGGTCATATTCCTTTTAAACTAGATCACATAATCCTTTATAAGATACGTTGATTAACAATACAATAGGCCTAACCTCAATATATACGTAACAGCCAATTTGCAGTATTTTTGCTTTTTTGAAATATCCCATTGCTATGTCATTTGCATTATTTGTTGCCAATGAAGCTGCAAGACCATATGAACTAGGAGGCCCCTAACAGTTCAAGAATAAAAGCAAACTTCACTTCAAGTATTCCACTACACCTAACTGTAGAGATTATATATATTGACAACTTTATGTTATTGATCAGGCTGAGACAACTAACTGACATCCCCCATGTCAAGGAATTCCAGCTTTAACAGAGACCCCACAATCAATTTCTCAAAACTATGCTAGAGGGTTATTCATTGGCACAGAAGTATGATATAAACTGAAGCGACGTGACGAAGGAAAAATCAAACTTACACTGTAACGGATATACCTCCCTTTGAAATTAGAATATGTCTTCCCAAAAAATATTTTCTTTTCAAATAAAATCATATTACACTGATGCAATCACGGAAGTGTTTAACTACAAAATATCCATCAATACGATTTTAATACTATTTAAAGGTCCTTCCAAAGGAAGAGATGCCATTTAACATACTAATAATAACTCCTATGACGTACGGTATGGGGAATATTTTATTCTTGTAAGACTAGATTACTTACGTCAATAGCTCATTGAATCGTGAATTTCACTTCATGTTTCAGTACATGTTTCGACACATTGTCATCATCAGCTGAGTACTAACTAGTGAAGTTTTTATTCACCATATGGTTTCGTCATTGTTCAATTAAATAAACACGTAACACAAATACGACACGACACGGAACATATACATTTACAACACGTAAAGCTAGACATGCAGGCCTGCTCGAACAAAACACACGGTCACGCGGCGGGTCGGGGACAGACTGACTATTTGTTTATCCAGGCTTATCATTGTTATCACGGAGGCAGTGGACAGCTGTTTCTTTGGTAGGAATGATAGAATTGAATTGCGGCGTGACCGTGTGTTTTGTTCGAGCAGGCCTGCATGTCTAGCTTTACGTGTTGTAAATGTATATGTTCCGTGTCGTGTCGTATTTGTGTTACGTGTTTATTTAATTGAACAATGACGAAACCATATGGTGAATAAAAACTTCACTAGTTAGTACTCAGCTGATGATGACAATGTGTCGAAACATATACTGAAACATGAAGTGAAATTCACGATTCAATGAGCTATTGACGTAAGTAATCTAGTCTTACAATAATATCTACAGCTCAGGGGCTTAACAATGAATTTAAATATTTTATTCATTGAATGATCAACCAAATTTGGCAACTAACGCAATTAATTAACATCATTATGCCTATTGTTTTTACATTTATTACACTTTAAACCATGCTAAATGCTCAAAATATGTATATCTCACCCAATTTATCGCAGTTAGATGAATTAACGTAAGCCTTGAAAGTAACCGTTGATTTTGACGGGTAAAATATATTCTTGGAATATACTTCTACACAAAAATTATATTTTTTGTCCTAGGACGCCAGGCATGAGCCTGGGATTGTTTTTCACATTGCTTCAGGCTAGATGTAGGGGTTGCGGCATTATCACTTAGATAAAATCCATTGGTGATTTGGCGAGATTTCAACCCGGGACCTCAGGGACTGAAGTTTCACGCTCTAACCACTAGACCAACTCGCTCCCAATGCAACAGTGATTGGAACAGACTAATTTTCCAGAAGCTTTGTTAGTGTATGTTCCACTACAAATATATTTAAATTTAGTGTTGTAAAAAAACAATGAAACGAGTACATCATAAACAGTGATAACCTATTTTTTAAGCATAGATGATTCATCCAGAAACCTTGTAGTTGTAACTGTTTCTAGCTCCAGATAGGACCATAACACTTTAAATCTAACTAAAAACAAACACAGTTCATCTCAACTTACAGCAGTAAAAGTGTGATCGACCAAAGTTATTTCTCGCTTCTTCAACTCCCTGTTTGTAGTTTTGGCGAACAAAGTTTGGACATCGTTGGCTGATTGGCACACTCCAACAATGTCTGAAAACATTCAATACTGACTAGTAAAATCTGTACGTACGATTCTATGTTCTGAAAACCTATGGACCTGATGAAACAAAATGTATGTACCTGCATTATCTTCCACTGCAACTTCTGTTAGGCATACTTTCTTTTTCTCTTCTACAAAATAATATGCTGCTGATTCCTAAGCTTTAACTATAGAGAATAATTCACTATGGGCAAGAATTTGTTAACCCAGAATTAGATAGGATTGAAAGATAACAAACGATAAGACTTATTCAATTGATTTAGGTAATGAAATGTCTGTTGTAAATTTTGCCTACTTCTGTTCTATAGCCTACATGAACTTAAAAGCTAAGCTAGATCCTCTTTAATCTAAAATTCAAAAGCCTGGCCTAGAGCCTTTCCTTGAACAAAACTTACCAACAATAGTGTCAACTGGCGTATCAGCCAACTTCTGGAGTGGGACAAAGTTGAACGTGACCTTGGGAATACTGTTGTCTTCGTCAACACATTCCACCACCTGGGTGTCGTGGGTGAAGGTCATCTCGTAGTCGTTGTTGATGTTCGTGAACTTCTTGTTGGCTGGTTTCAACTGACATCTACTAATCAAGTAGACTTTCCCGACCTAAAGATTTCAGTGGGGAAATTAGTTACAGCTGAATTAAATTTGGCTGATATTAGTAAACCTAATAATATTTTTAAAAGTTCATGCAAAACTATTGCTACTTTAACTAAAGTAGTTCTTACCTGATCTCTCTGACCAAATTTTGATCACAAATATCACAATGAAGTTTTCCAAAAGAGTAGGCATCATTTGATTTTTAGGTCAGGACATTTCTTTTATATTTATGGAATTTTGCATAAGTGTTAAACACATATACAAACTTCAAAAAATGTATCAAGGCAATGGTTATTTAAGATAAATCAAGCCTGTCTGGATGGTTGAAAGTAATACGTCTGGGCCTACATAAAAATACACCTTCCTAGAACCATAAAGACATTACAGTTTCCATAAACCATGGGTAGTCCTTAGTCAATGAATTGAATAGGCCTACCTGAATTTTTTCGTAGAAACTGTCACATTGGTCTTTGAACGCAGTGGCTCTGATTTCCCCCGATGAGTCTGCCAAATCCATGCTGAATAGTTTTCCTTCACCGCGAGCATTGGACCACTGTCTCACAGCTGACTTGGACGTTACTCTCGCCTTGATCACCCACTTGTTCTGGTAAGGAGTTAGACCTATGATCGGATGAGTTTTAACTCCATCACCGATAACAGGACTTGCAGGCACTTGAGATTGAGATCTGTTACCACCAATTCCTGTAAAAAAAATCATTTAGGCCTACTTTTGTTACAGAGATTTTAGCTATAGTTCGGCCGCTTAGAAAACGACCTGTGCGCTAATGCTAAACCAATGCTGGAGGAGTCGCTTTCTAAGCGGCCGAACTATAGTGAGTCATCAGCAATTTTTTTCATTCCGTTTTGGTTAGGTATTTGTTTAGTCGGTTGTCAGTTTTTTTGTTATTTTTCTTTTAAATTGATAGAATTACCCCCGACTTATAATATTTTAGCTTAAAACAGACTGATGATAATTTACTGTGTGTAGGATTAATGTGGGGGATAGTGGGTTTACATGCTATAACAGGTATTATTGCAGAACAACAAACTCTAAACAATAGAAATTACTTATTATTAATCTCTAACTAAACTAAAACATTCATTAAGTTACCAAGGTGTGTGACCTAGTCTATGTAGAGTTTAAACGTTTAGTGAGGTCGCCAGTAGAAAAGCAGTAATAACTTAAAGTTAGTTATTATGTATTTGGCTTATTGTGCATCATTATGACTATAATCTACGATTGTAGCACTTATGATCATCTCTGAAGTTGGCTACAACAACAACATTTTTTAAAACGTAAGCAATAGCGAGGACATCACTCCAACAATCGAGACAAATTCATTGAACATCGCCAGCAATTGCTCAGCCATCACCATCATACCACACAATCACATAAAATAATATTGATTTCTTATGTAATGTTGCATCTGTGTGAAAGTTATTAGGTAGAAAGTAGATTGAATGTGCTGGACTTACAAATCCAAATATTTGTTATCATTTTACAAACGAATATGTAGCCTGTAACAAATATTGTTATGTTAGGCTACTGTATAATGTTTATCAATATTCTATGTTGTAAAACTATGCAAGTCATTTCTTAAACATTCTTACCAAAAAAATGCATGCAACCATCAATTGTTGTTGGGTTGTCCATTTAGCCCAGTGGTCATAGTGCTAGACTTAAAATCAAAAGACCCCTGGTTCAATTCCAAACAAGATTGATTCTGAAGCTAGACTATTATAGCCTAACAATTATCAATCAATGATATAATATAACAAAAGGCAAACCTTAGGTAATGTCTAGAATATAAACTTTACTCTTGCAAAAAAATGTAACAAAATATGTCAATCACACACCATTGGCAGCAGGAGGCCTGTATTGAGGTGGTACCGGTTGAGTAGGCCGATCCTGTTCTTCCAAACGACCGTTCAACAGATCGTTTCTTGGGCCGTCACACGGCACAGGATTGCCGATCTTAAAACCAACCTCTTTGCCATCCTTCAAAACTGTTATGTCCAGCAGCACTATCACTCTCCTGAAAAATAAGAATCTTTAGCCACTTATATTTTCCTTACGTTACACTTGTACCCGTTAATCAAATCAGGATCCACAATCCTTTGATGTTTAACCTTACTTGGACGGGTTAATGCGATCTGGCATTCCTAGACGGAACTGTTTCATCCTGCGACATTGCTATTAGTTCGACATTAGGCCTATTCCAAGCCATTGCAAGACTAGTCAGTCAATAATTTGTTAAATGTCTATATCTGCAATTTTTATTGCATGGGGTTTCAGTTTTCTTGATTGCCTAATCTGCTTTGGATAACAATTGATAAACAAAAAGTGTGTTTTGAGGTTAAGTTTTGTGGTACCGGTAGGCCTAGATACCGTAAAATGCCACGACTGTTTCGTTTATCGAGTCAAATAGACCGGTATATAGATAATTGCAAATTGCCTCCCAACAGTCCCAACCTTCCGGAATTGAGGAAGATGAAGATAGTCATTTAAGACAACATAATAAGTAGGGATGGACGAGATTGGATTTTTAGCTCGAGACGAGACGAGACGAGATTTTTGATTTCTCATAAAATTTCAAGACGAGATCGAGATGGGATTTCCCTTCTCATACACAACGGGAAATGCACGTTCAACATTTTTACCTGATTTTGTAACATTGTTAGATGACTGTTTAAATACAAAAATAATGATATTAGGCAAGAATATTTACAATCTTTTATTAAAAAACATCAGCATAACATTTTTTTATTAATCACGCCTAACTTATGAAAAATGCCTACGATTAGGAAACATAGTGATATCAGTTAGGATAGAGTTCAACTTATCCTAAAATAAAATAAATCATAAAATAAAAGCAATATTAATTTTTATAAAATAGTTACTTGTTTTGACTTTTTATAGTAATAAAAAATTCCTCACACTGCTTACACTTAACAAAACTTCTCAAATGTTATTAAAGTAATATTTACATTTAAAGAATTAATTAAATAAGAACGCCTTCGCAAAGGAAACGCAACTACAACACGCTCCTGTATTGCGGGTATTGCATTGACTTTCTGCAGGCGTTTTTTTTTTTTTTTTTTTATTTTTTTTTTTTATTCTCGTCTTGATAAAAATCTCGGCCAAAAAGAAATCTCGTCTCGTGTAACGAGATTTAAAACTTCCCGAAAATTTCCCGAAATTTCGAGACTTGACTATCCCTAAAGTATAAGTAAGAAAGGTACATAATGAGGATGGTATGGTTGTTTTTGGAAAAGTAACTAAAAGAGCCCAAAGTAGGAATTCCTGTGTGTATCAGGTAGTGCAATTTCGGTACATGCCAATGGGTTAATAATTTGAAGTTTAATAAAAAGTAAGAAATGAAAAAAGGATTTGCATTTCTAGGAAGTTATTTATATCTTAGTAGGATTTGATACTTCTTTTGACTAGTACCGGTATTGATACAACTAGACATTCCATCCCCATGATAAAGTTGTCGCCAGTTTTTTAATCAAAATCGTCTTAGTTGATGTGAGCCACAGCTAGAATGCGCTAATCTGAAAAAAGCCTACTAATTTCTGTTAAATACAAGTAGGCCTAGGCTACTTTTTTACATGGTCAAACAACTTATTGTAAACTATAGCAACTGTTATGACCCATCAGCTATGTCAGCAACAAAATATAAGGTACGAAATAGGATTTTAGACACTAGCACATTCTGTGAATAAAAAATTGGAGACAGCTGGTCCTTAACCCTCCGAGTGTCCCTAGTTTTGGCCTTAATGTCTGCCTATTTTTTGCGCATTTGCAAGGTTTTATTAAAACGGATCTGAGAAGCTTAAAAACAACGTTAATTATACTGTTCTATATACCATTTTGTTTGGAAAATCATGGGCTTCAATATTATACATAAAACATAAGGAACATTTGTTTTAAAAAAATGTTTTAAAAAAAAAGTTTGCGCTCAATGAAATTGTATAAATTATAGGCCTATAAATATTTGATAATATAGCCACTTTGTTCTAAATTTTATGAGGATTACAAATATATAATAGTATAAGGAAGTAGATTTGCAAATAAATAAGTTATGGGCAAAAAACAGATTTCAGTACATAGCGTTTAGCTAAGAATGCATAGCCTAACCATAGCTAGGAATCTGGCTGATAATTTACATCAATATCACTACCTACTTCTTCAGGATCATCAACCAGCCCTTCAAAATCGCTTAAATCTTCTTATAATGCACCACGTATATCACTACTTTTGATTTTTTACACTAAAACAATGATAAACGTAATAAAACACATCAGTCATCGGTCCGAGGGTAACCTAGCTGTTTACAAATACGCACGTCAGCTGTCTGCTACAATTATGATCGACTCGAGAAAAAAAAACGCTTAGAGACAGACCTCCGGAGAAAGCTTAGAATCTGAGAAATAAAACGATACCTAACTCGATCCAGTTCAATCCGATTTTGTCAGTCATAGAGCCTTCGCCGTAAACAGTGTTAGTAAGTCGAAGCATCGACACAAAACACTACACAAAGTGTGTTATGTGTCGAAGCTTCGACAAGTAACACTCGGAGGGATATAGATGGGATGTTTACTTTAATAGGTGTATCCAAAAAGTTAGTCAATGATAAGACTTGGAGATTTGATTTAAAAGTAAGTAAGGCATAGGCTTACAATAAACATCTAGGCTTATTTTAATTTATTTGTGAATTAAAATGTTAAACAATTGACGAGAAACAAACAAAATTAATCAATAGAGAATATTCTAGTAAGTTTCAGGACATTACGATGAAACAAAGTCACTAAAAATCGTAACAAGAATCATCAAGAAACATGAAACCTAGACTGGAAATTAACGGGAACCAAGCCAATAAATTAAGCGATTCAAGTAGACAATCAATTTAAATAGTGGCTCGCACTTAATAAAATTTCAAACTGCGTAGCATAGTAAATATGTGTTACTCACTTCTGTCCTTGGTTCTTCTGGTTGCTAATCAGGCTGGTGAGATGACGGTTGAGTCTAACAATGGAGAACTCCACGAGCTCGTTGTTCTCCACCATGTGGTTGAGCTGTGTGGCCAGCATTGCGTAGCTGTTGAGGTAGACGCCGTCCGAGATAAGTATCCGGTAACGATCAGAATGACCAGCGCCAGTCAGTTTTCTATGACCCTTGAAAAGATAAGCAGTCTTGGTGTAAACGTACGACAATGGAAATATTTGTCTTGTATGCAAACATATACAATAAATATGACTTAAGATGTCTACATCAATATGTTATATTATAGGTTTGAAAAACGTTCTGGTGTGGACCATGATTAAGGGAAGCAGCCCAACCCCTCAAAATTTTGTGAATATACCACGGATCAAACTTATGTCCCTCGCACACAGATGAACCAGACACTAAACACAGACTAGCATTCAATTCAATTCAATTCAATTCAAAACCACTTTATTCATTTCCTGTACATAATACATTGAATAGTGTCAACAGTTGTTTAGGCCTAATAGTTATGAAATACATTTCTAACATAATAAAATAAAAACAAAATTTTACAAACTTAATTTTTTTTAAAGTCTAAACAAAAAATACATAAATTGAATTTGTTTTTGACTTCAAAGACTATTCAACTCTTCAAAAGAAAAAATAGCCTTGCTGATGAGAAATCTCTTTAATTTATTTTTAAATATTGTTTTGGAAGTCTCTGATTTAATTTCAATTGGGAGATTATTATAAAATTTTGATCCCGCATACATGGGTTTTTTCTCAAAAAGTTTTAGACTATGGTGGCCAATTGCAAGGTTTTCCCGATTTCTGGTGAAATAATTATGACTATCCCCAACTCGTTCCAAATCATGAAGTCTGTCCTTTACTGATAAAATTGTTTCATAAACGTACATTCCGTAAATTGTCATTATATTTTCCGATTTAAAATGTTCTTTATTAACAGAAGTTTCAAAATCTAAATTGCAGATAATTCTAATAGCTTTCATTTGCTTTTTTAGAATAGAATTCAAATTGTAATCACTAGTTGCACCATAAAGTGAAATCCCAAAAGATATACTTGAGTGGATATATGAAAAATATATAACTTTTAAAGTTTGTTTTTCACAAAAGGGTTTCAATCTAGATAAAGCAAATAATCCCGATGTGATTTTGGCAAGTAACTTTTCAACGTGACTGTTCCATTTCAGATTTTTATCAATTACCAATCCCAAGAATTTCATGTTGTCCATACTTAGAATTTCTGTGTTCTCGAGTCTGATGATTGGTTTATTTTGATCACCTAATTCTCGAGTTTGAAAACTAATGAAATTAGTCTTATCTGGATTAAGAAGCAAATTATTCGAATTAAAAAAATTATTTAAAACTGCTATATCGGAATTTGCCTTAAGTTCAATTTCATCATTTGATTTTGCAGTGATTTTCAAATTAGTATCATCGGCATATAGGCAAAGTTCACTCAATTCACTGAGTTGGGGAAAGTCTCTAAAGTAACAAATGAATAATAAAGGGCCTAAGATGGACCCCTGAGGCACTCCAAATTTCACATCTCTAATAGAGGATCGGTAATGAATTTTATAGTTTTTGTTGTTTTGGTGAATTAATTCTACAAACTGTTTTCTGTTGGAAAGGTAAGACTTCAGTAACTTTAATGCATTGTTCTTTATCCCTAATTTGCTTATCCCTTATTGCCCTTGATTGCTTATTTAATTAGCATCAACATTTTTGTGATGTAGTGTAAAACTTGTAGGCATTCTATGAAACAATTTTATGCTAACTTGTTCATCAGCATGTTTTAATTCATAAGCCGTTCCCTACCTACTATTAAAAATCGATCTACAGAATCAAAGACAAAGGTTTCAAGAAAAGTACACAAAAAAACACACATAAAATTAAGTTTAGCCATAGACTAGCCAACACAAGTAGACTTACCATCCCATTGTAAATTTTGAAACTCGTTTTTTGTGTCTAGTTCATGTCCGGTGACACTGGTGGCTAGTGTCGACAAAATTTTGTTTCTATTATTTCAGAATTAATTTAATGATTTGTGCTTTACTGTTTGGTTACAAACAGAGGATAAGTTGTTACAAACAGAGGATAAGTTATTAAATAGAGGATGAGTTATTGTTTAAGATTATATTGTTTTATTTGTTTAAACGGGGTTTAAAATAACTGAAATAGACTAACAAGAAATAAATTGTAAACAAAACTTGACCTTTACAGTGCACCGGACAGAACTAACAATGAAATTGGCTTCAGCTGTTCCATAAGGATAGGAAATCTAATAAGGGAGTATGTTTTATCTATGGTTTAGCCTAATTGACCAAACAAACCAGTTGCATGAAATAGAATAGGCCTAAGTTATTAATTTAAGGTTTCATTATTTTCTTGTTTCTGTTTATGTATAGGCCTAAGTTAGGCCTACTTACCAAGATCTGAAGAACTGGAGCGACAACTTCTCCTCCAGTGAGAATTGTCTGAAAAATAAAAAGAACCATTATGAAACCCATCTACAGCAATGCCTAGGCAGGGCAAAATAGACCACATAAACAAAATAGGCCAAGTTAATTCTTTAGGCTACCTACATATTTGTTTATCAATAAGCTATTTACTTACTATTTCCAGTATAAAATTAAAACTGGTGAAATGAGGTTCTTTTTACACATGAATTATTTGAGATGGGGACACCACCTAGGTAAGTTACGTATTTAAATATGAGTGAAGGATGAGTGGAGAATGTTGTAAGATGATCTGTGTATCTTTGTAAGGATCATTTATTTTAAGTCCAACGATCAGGAACAGCTGGGTCCTGTTTTGAACCATTAATACATAGGTACCGAGGTTTAAATTTCATCAATAGGGTGTAAAGTGACTCTTTTAGCTACGAGCTTGAGATCGGAAAATGAGCAAGGGTTGAAAAGACACTTTATACCTGTGTGATGAGAACAAAATATTTCAACGCAAGTTCCTGCAACATTACCGGTATTTAACAAACTAAGTTAGAACACAATAATCTTAATTTATTCTCTTAACGTAAAGTGAGCTAAGTTAATTAAAACATCGATAAACTTAACTACCATTGAGTTGGAAATCAGAGGTCTGCCGGTTAAACTTGCTTAACACAGTAAACTCCGGTAACTTTGGCCTACTGTTATTAATTACAATATGTTCATAGGCCCTAGTCCTAGGCCTAAATTAAGTTAGCCTATTTAAAAATCTTCTATACACTGTTTATATAGTTTGGTAAGTTAGGTATGGTTAACCTAACCTAACTAACCAAACGATATATCGAATTAAACAATCGAATATTCAATATTACTCATTATAGGTTGTTTGTGCCAACAGATATGGAAGTGTACGCACTTTAAATTCCTTTTAGAATCCTGGATGCAAGTTTTATGCAAAACCATTGGCCATCCCAGGAAACTAGGCTAGGACGTTAGGTAACCTCATGAGATCAAATTAGGGGCCTAACACCACTGACACCTGTTGTTTCGGGCATATTCCGTTACTTATTATCCCAATGGTCTCTTTTAACTTGATGAAATATGACAGATATAATTCTAATGATCGAACCTTAGGATATGATGGCAAACACCTAAGACCCTAACATAGGCCCCTTGATAGGTTAGGCCTATTATAATTCTATCTCATTAACAGTGTCATAGGCAAAAAATGAATAGAGATGTATTAGAATGTATAAGAAAAACGGCAAAACCACGTTAAACTACCTTATTCATTTATAACATAGCCTAGGCTAGACCTGCAGAAACTCACCATTATTGCTCCTTCACTAAGCTGTTCAGCCATTTTACTACCTATCTAAATTACAAATCTAATGGAGACTAACAAACCAGTTAACGACTAAGCTTAAAATACAGATGTCGATCATAAAATTGAAGTTGTCTTTCCTGAGATACAAAATTGCACAATAATTACACAACGAGGAAAACATAAAACATAAAACAGTTCTCTACTTTCTGCTATTCTATTCGCTCTGCTCTGCCGCCATCCGCACCAATTGGCAATTACTGTATAACAAAATGTAAGAAATCGGCGGGAATGGGGAATCATAGAGTAAACAGACAGGAACATGAACAACAGTTCGTGTAGGTATCACGGCCGCCTTAGGCGGCCGTGGTAGGTACTGTACGTAGAGAGAGAGAGAGAGAGAGAGATACTTTATTACATGAGCGTTAAGCTCAGCAATGGTGTCAAAATTACAATAAAACAATAAAACATTTATTTTTTACAAAAGTCAAAGTCTCTTCCACAGAGTGCAATGAACTCGTCGATGGTATAGACAGGGTTCTCGATCATCCAGTGTAGCATCCTCTTCTTAAGGGACATGGAGTTTCCATGAAAATAAACCCATAAAATCACGTTATCAATACTCTAATGAAGTAGTCATGAGTCTTTTCTTTGCATGTATATTATATTTGTATTAGATGTATGTGTATGTATATTTTTGCAGCATATTATCATAGATAAAACATACTATGTTTTATCTATGATATTATCCACTTTTGCGTGTCCATATCACGGCCGCATTTATAGCCCAGTCAATAAAGGGATTGTGTCGGAAGTAATTAGTGAAAGGCTAAGTTTTTGTCCATCGACTATTACCATTTTGAGAAGTGTTTAGCCAAATGTCCCCTCCCCTAACTCCCTTGCTCCCCCCCTGTGCCCCCCTAAACATATAAAATGTTTTCTCGATTGTTAAACGACATATTGAACTGCAATTAAATTTATTGTCTTTGATATAAAATTTCCTACAATACTGTTCAGTTAAATTTTGTCGTAGCTGTTATCGTTTGTTCGTTATTTGTATAAAAATATAAAGATTTATATATTTTTGAACATATAATTTTATTTTTGTCGCCTTTACTTTTTTCGCTGACGTTTCATGAGAATATGTTTGAAACAAAAGTTGTAGCTGCTTTCATTAGCTTTAAAATGATGTATAATAGTACTTACTTTAATGGAAATCCTGCGAGATTCAGCCGGTGTAATGCAGTATGCGTACTCAATCAGTGAGCTAAGTGGGGCTGGCGTGGCGTTGCAATATCATTGCTGTAATATGGAGAGTGTTTTTTTTTTTTACTTAAGGTACACTATTGCATTATCTCCATACCACCGCAGCAAACCTGCGTCTAAGCAAATTTTCATTTACCTGGCTGGATATTTACTAAAACATTACCTTAAAATCAACAAAATTATTTCCTGATCAGATTATTTTAATGAATACTTAGGTTTGAATGATAGCTTTTTATGAAATAAATAAATTCGATTAAAATATATCTATAAACAAGCAAACTAAAACAGCCTTTTTATTCTCCAAAACAATAAAATTGGAATTTTAAATTTTTATTTTTATTAATTATCTCCGTTACTGTTAGGCGTACAACGTTGCTCCAATATACACAATTATTTATTTTGAAGCTCTACAAAATGGTTTGGAATGAAATTGTAATGTTTTGTGGTTTTAGGGGGGAAATGGGAATAACCTACTTTTATCCCAGAAAACTCCCATAAACCCCTATTCCCATAGTCCGATCATGCTGGTTCGCAAACTCGTTAGAATAAACGTAAATTGATACGTTTGTATCAAATTTCATCAAAATCGGAGAATTTTTGCTTGATTTATCACGCTAACGGACTCATCATATATATGATATATATATGAGACTATATATATGATCTTACATTTTACATTTTATTTACGACTTTGAGCAGCGGAGGGTGTTTTCGGCCTCTGAGGGCCATAAAACGAAAAAGCAAATCGGGCCCGGGTTTAGGTCTTACCATGAGAGCTACGGTAATAGCTTATTCCCTATATGATAAATTGGCTAAAAAAATACAACCGAAAACAAATTCAACGTCCATAAACATTGCTACTACACAAAGCCAATCACTCCATTTTACACTCATCACTCATCCATCCATTATTTAGGTTTAAATACACAGTACGTGGTCCTGTCTCTATGTAAAGATTTAGTGATAAGAATAAACCAAAATAGATATAATAAAATAAAATCTATGAGTAGTTTTGGCTGGTTTTAAAATTTAAATTAAGATAAATAAAATCACTAGCAAAGACCTTTATCTCTTGGTTGTATCTTTTTGAAAAGCTTGAGTTTACTAAAAAATATTTGTGCAGCCTTTAAATAGCCTGGATTTCTATTTTTTTGTTAGTATTTTAAACAGAAAAATAGGGTACTTAGTGTTGATTACAGAATATTTAAATCATCTTACTTTTCTCTGATCAGAGCCAGTTCGGAGACTTCTCTTTTATCATTTTCCAGAAGGATGTAAAATTTAGATACAAAGTCTTTAAATGGACAAAAACATCTCCAAATTAATGCTAATTAAATTAAAATAAATATATTTGCAAACATTACGTTAAGTGATTGGCTATGTGTATTTAAAATGTAAAGAAGGTCAACAATGGAAAAATATTAATATTGAATAGGTATTTACAAATCTAATCTTAACTGGTATACAAACTATTGACGAAGGTTTCAAAATGATTCTAATTTAAAAACGAGAGCATTATTTGAAAATTCCTTCATAATACAACAGTTTCATTACTAATGCAAAACCTAAAAGTAAAATTTCATTTTGAACTACTATTAATTCAATTTTTGCCTGTTTTTTTAATAATATTTCAAGTTTTTCCTAAGAATTATTTGCACTTGTAAGAAATAGAAAAGCAAATACCTTACCTTGGCTAGATTAGTAATCAGTTCGGTCAAACGTTTTAGGAACTTTTGGTGGTATTGGTATCTTTGATACTGTTCAAGGGAAAGCTGACTTAAGTATTTTATGTTCGAGTCCTTAAATGGGAAATAAAAATGCATGATTAAAAATATTCAGCCTGAACCTTTCCTACACAGGGCAAAAAAGCCTTTGGTGGATTTAAGTTGATATTTTGGTCTACTAAATTAAAAAATTAACGCCAATGAATGGATGATAATGAATTTGCAACCAATGATTCATATTGGTTAGTTAAAAACCAGCATCTTAAGTAGCTGGGGTTTTTCATGGTTGTAAAAATTAAAAGTTAAAAACTGTTTAAAAAAACTTTGGAATAATTAATGAGCTTTGGAACTTTTTATTAATTGTTCTCTTCAGAGCAGAAAGTATAAAAGTGAAATTACCTTATTTTAAATAAATTGCAGAAAAACAACTACCGGTATAGACAATTTGAGTAGTCATCTTCCATCTAGGAGTTTTAAAACTGCACTAACTTAATTACAAAACAAGAAAGGAAAAAGTTAAGTTAAATGAAGTTAGTTAAGCTAACTTGTTAATTGTTTTAAGCTGGTAATAAATTAGTCAGAAAAAATTATCCTAGTAGAGTGATGTTTAGCCAATTAAACTCCTCAATAACTATCAAACTACTGAACAGACAAGAACCATGAATAATGAAGGATTAGGAAAATCCAACACTCAAAATAAAGCTTGGTATCTGAGTCGATGTAGCACTCCCCTGGTGATCAGAAGGTCACCAGTTCAATTCTGAGAAAAGCCAAAATGTTTCAATATGATTCAAAACTGAACCCATCTGTCCTTATTACTGGGGCTTTTAATAAACAATCTTGGCAAAAAAACAGCTGATCTTAGTCAGTAAAGCTGTATCCAACATTAACACTCATTGTTCAATCATCTTTGCATGAAAATACACATGGTGTGTTGGTACAATTTTAATCTACCATCTAAAAGCATTAGACTAACCTTGCTACTTATAGTTTGCCAAGACGAACATGTAGTTAGAGACCGAACATCAGATGGTTTGTTGAATTCCGAGCTACCAGAGGCAAGACTGTGTATCCCTTCGTCCTGCGATACCTCAGGACTACTATATATACAGTAGTAAACATTTAAATATAAATATCATCAAACTATAAAAAATATCAGTGGAAACCTTTGAGCGAAAATTTCATTTAATTGATGAAGTCTGTTGAAAAATTATATGATTCCAAAATAATTGGACCTATATTTTTTATAAATTTTCTCCAAATGGTAAGGGACTGGAATATAGTAGGCTACCTATATTTGTTAAAAATATTAGAAGATAAAAAAGTTTACTTATGTAAAAAATACAAAATGGCGGATATCTGGTTAACGAAAAAATGTTATTCTTGATTTTCTCTTTATTTTGACCTAAGGAAAGGTAAAATATGTCCCCACCTTTTTTGAACACCCTGTATATATTATAAGTCCGATTTCAATATTAAATTCATAGTAGTTTATTATTCTTAATATTAATTTGAATGTTGTCTGTAACTGTTTAAATATTTACTTACACAATAATTACTTTTTTAAACAACTCTATCAACATTCATACTCAGCAATGCTTACATCTTTCTTCTTTATTTGAAGTTTCTCATTTAAAAGTTTAGTATTACTGCTAAGAGGCAACATTTTTACAATAAACATTTAAGTATTGATTCATACAGCATAAATTTAACATTGTTTATAAATTAAAACAACACGTTTCAAAAGCTAGCCAGTGGGCTTATCTGTTAAAAGACAGCAAGAACAATTCAACGAAAATGTAATATCATTATTAACCTTTTATGGAAAAATTAATCAAAAAACAACAAAGACTTACATTTATGTAGCCCGGAGCAATCGTTGCGCTTTGGTTCGTGAAGAGACGGTTTGATGCTTAATATTGTTTCACTCTAAATGAAAGAATACACTTATTTATTTCAAGTTGTATCTCATACTGAATAATTTCTAATTGTAAAATAATTAAAACCCACTCAGGTGTGGAAGTTAATTTGGTTGTGTGCAGCATTTTAACATTTTAATAGCCAAAGTCGTAGCTAGGGGGTTAAAACCCCCTCCCCCGAAATCCCGAAATTTAGTAGTAAAAACTATTTCCGTGGCCTACAGTATTTTCGGAAATGTATAAATGCAATCGTCATAGTTTGGTTTTAAAAATGTTAACTTTTTCATG